CACACACACACACACACACACACACACACACGCATGCGGGCCAACTGCCTGATTTTTTTTGCTTCCAAATTCTTTTTTTTTTCTTTTTTTTCTCGTTATGTTTTTGTTCTCGATTTTGTAAAAAATCCTTTTAAAGGCCAAAACATAGAAATAACAATATGGGTCGTCGATCTACAACCTTTTTTTTTTTTTTTTTTTTTTTTGCCCCTAAATCACCATCGTGCGGCGGTCGTCCATGCACCTGTACGCCCGTTCGTCCGTCCGTACGCATGGACCATACGGAGACCCCCCATACGTCGTACGGGGGAAGACACTTGTACGCACACAAGACTTTCTTTTAAATCGTGGAGACTTAAAAACATAGTTCTTACCATCCCTCCTGCTATTATTTTTTCTTTTTTTCTCCTTTTCCTCCCCTCCGTTCAAATGTTTGAGAAAGAGAGGTGAAATCATGATGTTTTGATCAAATGACACTTAGACCCACCAATCATTATTAACATCCATAAGCGCGTGGGGAAGCTAGAGAAGAAGGAAAAAGACATGAGTGAGTGAACAAAAAAAATATGAGGAAGAAGATAAAGGAGACGAGTAGGACAAAAAACATGATGCGGTCGAGGAAGATGTAATCAAAGTCTCTAAGGAGACGCTCCTTTCTTCTTGCTTGAGGGGTTTTTGGAGAAGATGCATGTTACCCTTTGTTTGGTGGATGCTTCGTTCGATATAGAAAATTGAAAATTTCGACAATGTGGATGAAAGGGTACTTATGAGTACAGTTCACACTTTGCAAAAGAACGGAGCGAAGTGTCAACAGAAAATCTTCAGTACATTTACGGGTTGTATATTGACGGTTTCACATTGTAATGCAACCCAAGGGCCCTATTGTCACCAACGTCGACAGGGAAATCATCATGAGGCACTTGTGGCTTGCCACAAAAAAACCCAAAAGCGAGGTAGTCAACTCGCAAGAGGTAGTAATTGAGCGGTTGTAACAATTCGTACTAAGGTTGATCTGTCCCGCAGACACACTCATCACTACAATGGTGGGAATCCTACTAACAAGTTCAGATCATAAAGAACTTCGGAAATTGCGAACCCGAAAGTCCTGCACAGGACCCACCTGCAATTCGCACCATCCTTATGTGTTACATGCTGCGCCTGCACACGCAGGCCATTTTTCAGGCCGAAAACCTGAATTTCAGGCCGAAAGCCTGAAATCCAGGGCTTACAGGCCCCACGTGGTTCAGCCCGAAAGCCTGAACTTCAGGGCCTACAGCCCCTACGTCGGTTCAGACTAAAAATGGCAACAGCCTTTTGAGCCTGGACCCAAGGGCTATTTTCGGTCGTTCATCAGAACGACCGGCCCTGAAACTCAGGCACCGAACCAGGGTTTCCAAAACAGGCTATTCTTAGCCTGCTTCCCACGCCAGCCTCAGCACGCTGCTGCACGCCAGCCCCTGGCCCACTTCGGCATTCGCAAGAGCTGCCTCCTCGGCCTGGCTCGCCCTCTAGTAGTCAGGAGGCAGGCCGAGGTAGTACATAGGGACTTCCCAGGCACTTCCTAGGTAGGCAGTCGGCAGTTGTAGTCTTCAGGATTCGGGAGCAGCACTGTGGAGGGAGCGCTGCAAAGTAGTAGTAATAGCGTTAGCTTGTAGTCTTCAGCGCTGGGCGCAGTAGGTAGCTGTAGTCTCTAGCGCTGGGCGCCATAACTAGGTAGTACTAGAAAGAGAGAGAGAGAGCTTGGGCGGAGGCCAAAGGTACTTACCTGCAGCGCCATTGCTCCAACTTCGTCTTTGAGGTACCTGCAGCACAGAGCCAACATCACAGGTTAGTTTCTGGCTCATAACAGTGAGAGAGAGAGTTCTTCTTCTTCCTCTTCTCAGTCCACCATCTCCTTCTCCCCCTCTCAACTCCTGACTTCACTGCATCTGCAGACTACGAGAGTAGAGAGACAGAGCTTGGTGACATTGGATCCAGACTCGACTTTTGGGACTTTAGACATGGCAACGAGGGATTATTTGGGATTGGTGACAAAGACTTGGTGTTGACGACATTCCCATCTCTCTCCCTCCTTTCATCTGATTCCTTCCTCTTCGTCTGTGTATGTCTAGACCTGGCGCTTTCTTTCTGTGTACAGCGCCAGGCTCCCTCACACCTGGTGATGAATACGATGCATGTTTGGTATGAGTTCAAACATTGATTGGGCTAGTTATTAGTATTCTGGTATTCTGCTTCGCTACCTGGTACTACGTGAATGAGGTCAGTCCCAGTCAGGTCAGTCTTTGTATCTAAGTCTTCCCTGCCCTATTCAACACCTTTTGTATGTATGAGAATGCATATTGTCTGTCGAGATTCTACTCACACTGCATTGTCCATTTTCTCATTTTCATCACATTGCAGATCCTTGGTTATTACATACATTGCATATTTGTGCATGTAATAGTTGGTATCGGAGCTTTGCAGGTGAATCAGGACAACTTGATCTGACACGTGTGCGGGGACTAATTAGCTGGTTAGTCTCTAATGATTGATTAGAACACAATAGTTAGACCCCAAAATCACGATTTTGACCTCACTACCGAAAATTGATTTTTTTTTTCTTTTCTTGGATTTTATTTTCTCGCTGTTCTGTTATAGAAAATCGCAATATTGCAGCATCTGAAATTTCCATTTTCGTTTTTCTCCGAAAAATTCGAAATTTTTCTGTTGAAAATCCGGAATATTTTTCTTTTTGAAAATTTCGATTTCCTGTTGCATTTCCCTTACTTAGAAATTCGGAATATTTTCTTTTCCGAAATTCGTTTTTCTAAAAACAATACGGGAAATCCCTCCTGCGGTATTATTTTCCAAACTGCGAATATTCCCATCAGAATTAATCTGAATATTGGTCATTTCTGTTCGGAATTTTTTCGCAGTTCTAGGATTCTGTCATTCAATTCTATAAATCATTTGCAGTCTAGAGTCGAAATTTTTTCTTTCAGTGATCATTTCGGACTTCAAGGGATTTTGGGAGACCTACCGAACTTGCAAAAAATTTGCAAAGTTCAAACTTTTCTTGTTCGATTAGTGGCTCCTTATCTGAGTGATTAGTTGGGAGATTATCCCACCCACCCCTCCCCACCTATGTTGTTGCCATCTCTCGCCTTTCCATTTCTGTTTGTATCCGGGTACCCCCTGCGGTAGCATTGGTGAGTTGCCACGTCAGCAGGCCACGTCAGCAGGCCACGTCAGCAGGCCACGTCGGCAGGCCACGTCGGCAGGCCAGGTCAGCAGGCCACGTCAGCAGACTACGTCAGTACGTCAGCAGACCACGTCAGCAGGCTACGTCAGCAGGACATGTCAGCAGGACACGTCAGCGGTACCACGTCAGCAGCAAGGGATACCACATTAGCAGGCCCCGGCCTGGTCTATCTATGCCATTGCGATCTCATACAGCAGTCATGGACCAGCGGCCCGGAGAAGTGGACGAGCCCTAATAGGCCCGCGTGCTGGCCTTGAGTACCGAGACAAAGAAATGGGCAGATGACGCTGCCGCAGCAGCGAAGAAGAAGGCAGAGGATGCCGAGCAGGCACGTCTGCTGGCACTTGAACAACAGTGCCAGCATGACGTGGCAGCAGCAAGGGATGCCGATGAAGAAAGGAACCAGTGTCACGAGAAGATATTTACCGGAGAGCGGGCGTTACTTACAATGGCAGCGGGATTGCGGACCGAAGCGGAGGATGGCAAGTTGGAGGATAGCGCAAACAAGATCGCGCTTCTCCTCTCACACCTCACAGACCTCGTGGCAACCTGCATTACACAGCGGGCAGAGATCCTTTGTCTCGACACCTCGCTAGCTCACGTCCAAGACCGCCTTCAACAGTTGGAGCAGCAACCAGTCGTCGCCGCCGACGCAAGCTCTTCCAATACTGACGACCACCTCAACGCATTGGAGATGGACGTCGGCTCACTCAAGGATGGCGTGCAACTACAGTAGACCGCGACGCAATAGTTGCAACAGCGGATCTGCACTACTGTCACGACCTCGAGTTCCGAACCGTGCGAGTCAACGCTAAAGTTCGACGGGCAGGAGATCTTCTGCGACTCAATGAAGACAGATCTGATTCCATGGTTTCGCAAGTTCGAGCTCACGCTGCAGCTGTCCAACGTCAAAGAACACAAGCACCACGCATACTTGTACTCTCGTTCAGGGGGCGTGTGCCAGGCTTGGTTGGACAACCTCTTGTCCAAGTACGGAGTAGTAGCAGCCGACTTGCACACCAAGATCAGTTGGGATGATTTGAAAGCGGCGTGGCACAAGCGGTTCCAGGTGGAGCCACCAGAGATCAAAGTCATGGACAACCTCATGGTCTTCAAGCAAGGCACGCTGCCAAGTACGGACTGAATCGCCGAGTACCAACGCTTGACGCCAGTCCCAAACATCCAGATGGGCTTCAAAGCCATCCGCCATTACTTCATCTCAATATCATGTCCGGCATTAAGCAATGCCCTGACGCACGTTGAGGACACCTTGACGATGGCGGCGGAATTGTTTGACAAAGCTACGCAGATCATCATCACGAACAAGAAGGCGAAGAACCTTCGTTCATATGCGGCAGGCCCGATCAGGGACCAACATCAGCCAAGAGTGGCCGTGGTCGCAGCAGCAACGCCATTGGACTAAATCAGCGAGGCAGTGTCTGCCAGTGAAGGGGATAGACTCCAACCACCCGGGAAGGTGGTCGCCCCGACAAAGGCCGAGGATGCGGCAAGACGAAGACACACCGCATCTAGCCCCGGACCCGGTGTAGCAGCTCAGACAGGCCCATGGTCTCAGTATGGCATCTTCGAGTCCGCATTCAAGGCGCGCGAGAGATTCCACTATTGCCTTTGGTGCAACAGCGATCTTCATCAAACACAGGGTTGCCCATTGAAAGGCAAGGGCAGACAGGGAAACTGAGCACCGCCGAGAGTGATTCGACGACACTCTCGACGCCTTCGGAACCGGTTTTTTCGCGAGTAACCGGCCTTTATTCCAAGAGGCACGCGAAAGTCGATAGTCCTCCGCTTCTACTTTTTTTTAGGACTATGTTGCCCGACTCGTTCCTATGCTGGGTACTCAAGCTCAAGAACAAGGAGTGTGTGCGGTTTCTTCTCCGTCATGCAACGGCGACATATCGTCTTCAAGTGGTTCATCAGGGGATTCGACACGTGAGTTCAACATAGAGGCATTGGACCCGCTCACGTCTGAGGACTTCGCATGGCTTCCTCTCCCGACCACAGGCCGCTTGGTGAGACCGCAATGCGCAACACTTAGCGCTAATCTTCACACTTACTTATCCTTCTATGCACCACCAACTTCGCCGACGGATGACGAAGTCGCGGTGGGGGACATCCTGGCATATACTACCAAGGTGGCCCGCGAGTTTCACACGCAGCGGTACGATGGCAACAACGCACCGCTCATGTATGTCCGCATTCAGGTTGGGCAAGCGTCCTGCAGCACTTTGCTGGATAGCGGCGCGTCTCGCAATTTTATGACTCAATCCTTTATGCAAAGGGCTGGCCTTGGCGCACAAGTTCGAAGGAAGGCGAACCCGACGGCGATCAAGTTGGCGGATGAAAAGACGCAACAACTTCTCGACCGTCACATCGAGGCTGTACCGGTCTACTTCGCACCTTATGCATGCGAACCGGTGACATTCGATATTCTCGACACGGACTTCGACATCATTCTGGGAATGCCTTGGCTTGCAAGTCCGGATCACACGGTCAACTTCCATCGGCGGACTCTTAGCATTCGCGATGCCTTCGGCGCGAAAGTGGCGTGTACGATTCCTCTACCGCACACTTCGATCCGGTGCCAAGTGGTGACGGCCAAATCATTCCGAGCGACTTGCGCTTAGAAGCAGCCCGAGGAGATCGTCCTATGTTTCCTACGGACCGTTGCGGTAGCCGACTCTTCACCCACGGACTTGTCGTCGGACCCCTGTGTGGTGCGGTTGCTGGACGAGTTCGCCGACATCTTCGAGTCACCTACCGGTAAGGTGCCGGATTGGCCGATCTCTCACGAGATCATTCTTGAGGCCGGTGCCGTGCCGCCGAAAGGTTGCATCTATCGAATGAGCGAGGAGGAATTTGAGGTCCTCCGCGCACAACTTGATGATTTACTGGCCAAGGGCTGGATCCGCCCTAGCAGCTCCCCATATGGAGCACCAGTTCTCTTCGTCAAGAAGAAGAACAAGGATCTACGATTGTGTATCGACTACCGCAAGCTCAACGCGCAAACCATCAAGAATGCGGGGCCTCTTCCTCGCATTGACGATCTTCTTGAGCAACTGGGCGGCGCGAAGTATTTTTCCAAGCTGGATTTGAAATCAGGATATCATCAAATCTTGATCCAACCGAACGATCGCTACAAGACCGCGTTCAAGACGCAGTACGGGCATTTTGAGTGGGTGGTCATGCCTTTTGGCCTCACCAACGCCCCGGCGACCTTTCAGGCAGCCATGACCAATGAGTTTCGTGCAATGTTGGACCCGTTCGTGCTGGTCTACTTAGACGATATTCTCGTCTATAGCCGGTCATTGGAGGATCATCTTGGGCATCTTCGACGAGTGTTGGAGACGCTCCGTCGTGCCAAGTACAAGGCCAACCCTTACAAGTGTGAATTTGTCCGGCAAGAGTTGGAATACTTGGGCCATTTTGTCACACCGGAGGGCATCAGTCCGGTATCGGACAAAATTCAGGCCGTCCAAGAGTGGCCTGAGCCTCGAAACGTCACGGATGTCCGCTCGTCCCTCGGTCTTACCGGCTACTATCAATGCTTCATCAAAGGCTACTCAAAGATCGCGGCCCACTTGAACAAGCTTCAATGCGAGGATCGATCATTTGACTTCGGAGAGGAGGCGCGGGGATCATTCTTCGCTTGCAAAGCCGCGCTATTGTCTGCGGAGGTCTTGCGGATATACGACCCGCTCGCGCCTACGCGCATCACTACGGATGCATCAGGCTATGGCATTGGTGCAGTCCTCGAGGAACATGATGGTGTGAATTGGCACCCGGTCAAGTACTTCAGCAAGAAAGTGTCCATCGTGCATTCCATTGACGATGCACGCAAGAAGGAGCTCCTCGCCTTCGTCCACACGCTCAAGCGGTGGTGGCACTTCCTCCGTGGTCGAAGCCAATTTCGGTGGGTAACGGACAACAATTCGTTGGTCTTCTACAAGACCCAACACACCGTCAACAGCACCATCGCTCGATGGATGACTTTCATCGACCAGTTCGACTTCTTTCCCGATCACATTCCCGGGAAGTCGAACCGTTTTGCGGATGTTCTTGCACAGCGTCTGGATCACTGTACCGCGGTCTACTCAACCTTCGAGATCGACGATGATCTGCGGAACAGCTTCATCCGCGGCTACCACGCTGACCTCGAGTTTCGCGACAAGTACGCGAATTGCTCCTCTCCTAATCCGGCTCCTTCTCACTACCGGATCCAAGAGGGGTACTTGCTTGTCCACACGCGGGGGAAGGACCTTCTTTGCATACCGAGTGATCCTCACTCGCGTACACGCCTTCTTGGCGAGTTCCACGATGCTCCCGCCACCGGACACTTTGGAGTCAATCGCACGATTGGCCGACCTCGCCAGCGATCTTGGTGGCCCGGCCTTCTCGGCGACGTCACGCGCTATTGCGAGTCATGCGAGGTTTGCCGACGCTGCAAATCCTACAACCATCATCCGTACGGCGAGTTACGACCATTACCAGTCCTGTTGAGGTGACGGAAGCGATTGCCATCGACATTACCGGCCCGTTCCCCAAGCACAAGACCGGAGTGGATGGGATTCTCACAGTGGTCGACTGACTCACCAAGTTCGCCATGTTTTTGCCTTGTCGCTATCATGCCAAGGCACCGGAGTTAGCCGAGGTCCTTTACGTCGGTTGGATTCGCACCAAGGGTTGCCCCAAGGAGATCGTCTGCGACCGCGACACTCGGTTCATGTCCGATTTTGGGTTGGCGCTCATCAAGCGATGGGGCTCATCTCTCAAGCCCAGTTCAGCTCGCCACCCTCAGACCGATGACCAGACGGAGAGGGCGCATCAGATCGCACAGGTTCTCCTTCGCACTCTCATCCTCCCCGACCAGAAAGACTGGGTTGAGCGCCGGACGTCGAGTTGGCCTACAACTCTTCCATCCACCCGGCTATTGGGATATCGCCCTTCGAGTTCGAGCATGGCTCGCCGGTCACGTCACCGTTGGACACTATTATTCCACGCACGGCCGAGAGCGACGACCACCTTCTTTTCTTGCATCGGATGCAAGAGCTTCTTGTTAAGGCACGCGACCAGATGGCTAAGACGCAGCAGCGCATGAGCCAACAGGCCAATCACCAGTGTCTTCCTTGTCCATTCCGTGCCGGTGACCTCGTCTGGGTTTCTGCAGCGGAATTCAGCCTTGAACAAGACACCTCTCGCAAGCTCCTTCCTAAATGGATGGGGCCTTGGCCGATCGTAGCGCCCGCTGGGGACGCACCCGAAGGACCTTCCTTCACGATTCAACTGTGTGGCCACTTGCCCGTGTACCGAGTCTTTCATTGCTTCAAATTCGCTCTCTACATGCCAAGTGAACATGACCATTTTCCCGGGAGACGTACGCAGGACCCACCTTCTATGGACGATTTTTAGGAGGTTGGCGACATCATCTCCCAGCGACGCTACGGCAGCAGGCCGACCGAGTACTTGGTGCATTTTGCATATTGCACACACCGAGCTGACCGATGGTTAACCTGTGCGGAACTTCAAGCGACAACTCCAGATATTCTCGCACGCTACGAACGCAAGATGCAAGGCAAGCCGGTTTTTTCGGCTCCATGCCGCGCCCGCGTTCAAGTTCCACCTTCAAATCGTAGGCTGCGCCCTTGCCCCGGCTTGACTTCATAAGGAGGGGGGGTGTTACATGTTGCGCCTGCACACGCAGGCCATTTTTCAGGTCTGCGCCCTTCAGGCCGAAAGCCTGAAATCCAGGGCTTACAGGCCCCACGTCGGTTCAGCCCGAAAGCCTGAACTTCAGGCCCTACAGCCCCTATGTCGGTTCATACTAAAAATGGCAACAACCTTCTTAGCCTGAACCCAAGGGCCATTTTCGGTCGTTCATCAGAACGACCAGCCCTGAACCTCAGGCACCGAACCAGGGTTTCGGGAACAGGCTATTCTTAGCCTGCTTCCCACGCCAGCCTCAGCAGGCTGCTGCACGCCAGCCCTTGGCACACTCCGGCATTTGCAAGAGCTGCCTCCCCGGCCTGGCTCGCCGTCCAGTAGTCAGGAGGCAGGCCGAGGTAGTACATAGGGACTTCCCAGGCACTTCCCAGGTAGGCAGTCGGCAGTTGTAGTCTTCAGGATTCAAGAGCAGCACTCTGGAGGGAGCGCTGCAGAGTAGTAGTAGTAGCGTTAGCTTGTCGTCTTCAGCACTGGGCGCAGTAGGTAGCTGTAGTCTCCAGCGCTGGGCTCCATAGCTAGGTAGTACTAGAGAGAGAGAGAGAGAGAGAGCTTTGGCGGAGGTCAGAGGTACTTACCTGCAGCGCCGTTGCTCCAGCTTCGTCTTCGAGGTACCTGCAGCACAGCGCCAACATCACAGGTTAGTATCTGGCTCGTAACAGTGAGAGAGAGAGAGTTCTTCTTCTTCTTCTTCTCAGTCCACCATCTCCTTCTCCCCCTCTCAACTTCTGACTTCACTACATCTGCAGACTACGAGAGAAGAGAGATAGAGCTTGGTGACATTGGATCCAGAGTCGACTTTTGGGACTTTTGGGGGGTGCTGAGGGGTCGAAGAGGCATGTTGCTTATCTCCATCAAACACAAGTCGAGAAGCCGGCGTGCACAGTAGAACTAAGAATGTTCGTCAGCAGTTGATCGCTCAGAGTTGCAGTTTTTTGACACAGGATCTGGTGGTGGTCGATGTGCAAAGTCCGCCTGGATCCGAACTTGTTAGAGACCGGTTTCCCGCGACAGGCGTGATGTGACTGTTGGAAGGACATGTTAACCGTTTCTAAGTGGACTGGGGTTTTGGGGGGCCGCCGTAGGGTCCCGTAGGGGGGCACAAAAAACATTTGTTTTTCGAAGTCGAAGTGCGAAAAGAAGGCAGTTGCGCAAACAAGGCCGTCTGCGTACCCCCTTTCCGAAGATCAACGGACAGAACTGCCAGCGAGCATCTTGCTGTGGAGCAGAACTTGCAAGAAGAGGGATTCCCAGTACATGCAGCAACGCGGTAATGAAGAAGAGCACTTAGAACTAAAATGACCTTTCGTGTTAAATGACCTTCGTGTTCCGACCGCATGAGACCACCGTAAAGTCTGATTCTGCTCGTTACAAAGTCTGGGACTGCTTCTGCTCGTCCTCCACTTGCCACGTGTCCTGTCCGCCCAGCAAACACAAATGGGAATCACATCTGTCCAGGAGACACGTGTCCTTTCCTCGCACATCGAGAACGGGAGGCACGTGTTACTCCACGCCAATCAATCGTGGAAGCGAGACAACCTTTCCCTGTGTAGCTGCACTGGGAGGCAGTGAGAGCCACATGTGCTCCCTCCCCATCAACCTCCCAGGTGCATGCCTCTTATTTTAATCCCGGGGACAAGTAGGGAAGAACTCGAGTTTTGCATGGCGGGGGGTTAATCCTTCCCATCAGCGAAAGAGACCAATGCCCCTCGTGCATTCTGCACTTTTGATGTTTAGGGAAGCTGCCTCCGCAGGAACAGTGGCCGAGGCTCTTCCAGCCCTAATGGGAAGAGCCGTCACAGCCGTGTGTTTGTGTTGTATTCAATTTCTTTATCTGAGCCTTGGGGACTGGGCCTTTTCCACAAAAAAAAAAAATTAAAAATGTATTGGGAAAATATCACAACATCAGTCAGGATTAACCCCCTTCTCGTAGCAGACGACCGCGCATACATAGTGGAACAGCAGGAAGAACCGGAAATTCTGACAGAGCATCGCAAATAGGAAGGAGGCAGCATTGCTGCAGCAATGACAAACCCTGGGATCAGGGCAGGAAATCTGAGATGGGATGGGTGAACACACTGAACACGCCCCTGGAGGGCTGCTGCTCTCTGGTTCATACCTCGCTCTCGATTGAGAGCAGCAGGAGTTCAATAAGAGAGTTGACCAGCAACGGGCAATTGCTAGAAGGATGGGGGACTGTAAACCTGGAACCCAAATCTCTCTCTCTCTCTCTCTCTCTCTCTCTCTCTCTCTCTCTCTCTCTCTCTCTCTCTCTCTCTCTCTCATCAAGAAACCTCAATTTTGCCTCTCTCTCTCTCTCTCTCTGATCAAGAAACCTTCAAATTTGCCTCTCTCTCTCTCTCTCTCTCTCTCTCTCTCTCTCTCTCTCTCTCTCTCTCTCTCTCT